CAGAGGAGGCCAAGGTGACGCTACTCACGTGCAGTCGAACAGGACGTGATCGTCAAGATGCAAGGGCCTCCACACGCGACATCAAATTCATAAATAAATCCCAATGAGCAACGTATCTCGATGGATGCGACAGGCCAATCAGCCCCCCATCGTCGGTGGCATCAAGAAACGATACAACCTTGACGGAGTTGGGAAGCCTGAAGAGATTCCCAAGACTGCCGAACTGAAGACATTTATGCACAAGCTCTGCAATGCTAGAAGAATGTCATTTGCACCCAGATCATAAACTTTCTAAAGCGTAACCAGAGTGGCTCGACACCTATTTGGCCACAACAAACTGTGGGTTTCAGTCCCTGCTGAAGCTCCAGCAAAGACTTTGCTCGCACCACCGCTCCCAGCGACATCGGCCAACGAAAAGAGATCGAAGCCAGATGGACCTCAAGGTCACACGATGGGACATTGCTCTGGACTTTTACAAGGCATTCAACGGCTTTCGCAACGATACAATCATCAACGTGGGCGAGACTGGTATGACCTGTGACATTATCCTAATGAAATTTGGTCTGCTCAAAATCGATGTTCAAGGATTGCAATTGGGCACAAACTTTCATATTTTTTGACCGCATTGCTTGGTGTTCAAGCAAACGTAAAAAAGCTGCCGATCCTGTTTAACATGAGACGGGTACCCAGTGAAAACATCGAGTCAAACGAGTTCGACAAGTTTCCAGTTGGCCACCACTACGCCATCGAGGAACGCGGCTGGATGAATTCTCGCATATGGCCGTACTATGCTGCAAGGTTCTGCGACACCGAGTGCGTGAGCTTTTATTCTGCTGGATGGCAACTTGATTCCCATGTAAGCAAGGAAGGACTCAATTTTGCCAACGAAGAGCCTGGGTGTGTCGTGGCTGCCATTCCACCCAACGCGACATCCAAGGGCTGCTATGCAGCCCTTGGATGACGGGATTATGGCCTAGCAAATTGAAATTCCATGGGATTCAAATCGATCTGCCAGCACGACTTTGTATCGCGCTCACATTGCGCAAAAGATGTGGGGTAATTCATGCGGAGAGAGTACCCCCAGTCTTCTTCCTGAATCTAAGGATGGGAAAGAGCAAACACCACGCACGTAATCTTGCCGGTAATACATAGAGCATCAGTTGCGGTCTCGACTTGTAAGATCCACCGAAGGTCTACAGGAAACGTTTCCCGGCATCGGAGTCGAACTTGGCTATGTCAAGCTTCACTAGCTTGGTAACCATGTGGTTGTTTCTCTCGATCATTGCCTCCTCATATGCGTGGAGAGACTGTGCTTGTGTGTCTTGAAGACACTGGCGCAGTTGGGATGCCGAGGATTCCAGTGTCGAACTGCGGTCGCGAGGTTTGCGACCTCAGTTTGAAAAGCGACACTATGCTCGCTCATCGTTGTGGCTTGGCGCTCGCTCTGGTGGATCGATTCTTCGAGGGTTCGACCTTCTTCGGTTAGCTGGGTGATGTGAGCTTCGAAGGGTTGTGTCGAGGTTTTAAGGGTGATAGTGATTCCTTCAAGCAGTCGCACTCGGGCAACGACAAAGAGAGGAAAAGAGCGACTGGATGTCTCCTTCGCCAAGGATTTTAAGCATGCGGTCGTATACCGCTTGATGGGAAACTGAGATGGTCCTCGGACGAACTTGTAGTGCTACCAAGTTTGGCAGGGCACAAGGAGTTGGTAAAAAAAATGAAGATGGAATGGGCAGGGTTATGCTGCCTATTTCTACTGATGGAACTTTTGGAATATGGAAAGTTAAAGCCACTCCTCGAGAAGTCGCTAGCAACCAAAGCCAACTTGTTGGGAGGGTCGCTGCAATATCAAGAATGATCATGACATGCATCGGGAAAACAGTACCGTACAAGTGTTAAAAGCAGCGAACACATCAACACTTCGTCTCAACCTTTTCTAATAACCTACTTCATCGCCTACACCAATAACTTGATTCTTCACACATTCGTTGGATGAGGTCTGGTCTACTTTGTGCCCCTTGCTTTGCCCCGCCCAGGTCCAGCGTCGGCGGCAATCGAGTGCATTCAACGACGTGACAAGGAGTTGAGATCGTCGTGGCAATTCCGAGGGATATTTAGCCCTGCATGTTCGTCACAGTGAAACCGACAAGGCTGAGAAGCGCGCCTAGCCGCAGCACTTTTCATTTCGTCGCTTGGAAGCATGCGTATCGGAACCCTCGTGACTACAGTCCTCGTCAGCGTCGTGGCTCTCTCGTCCGCCCAAGACCGAGATCGCAAGTCCGGCAACCCCAAGCTCAAGAGCTCCGCGTCCTTTGGCAACTCGGGCGGCAACATCAAGCTGTGCTCGGACGACTGTTCCAGCGGTAGCTACGCCAAACTCAACCTCGCACGTCTGTACGAAGTCGACGCCATGGGCCAGGACGCGAGCAACAAGGCCGAAAACTTCAACAAGGCCGACGGGGTCTGGTCGGCACCCGTCTCGAGCTCCCGTGATGGCGTGAACACGACCACGTACACGTACTCGACGGTCGTCGCGGTCGGCAAGCCCAAAGACGCCAAGACCGCGCAGTTCAACATGACGGCCGTCGTGTACGATACGAACGGCACGGCTTGGAACGGGAACCAGACCGTCAATGTGGCGGCGGGCGCCATCAAGTTTAGCATCTCGCTCGGCCCGTGGCCGTTCCTGGCCGACACGAACAAGCTCCGGTTCGGCGTCCGCGTCGAGACGAAGAGCAAGAACGAGACAACGCCCAAGAGCAAGGGCGAGAAGCACGAGGGAAAGCGCGACCCAAAGAACGGCAAGATCGATCGCATGGACCTGGGCGACACCATGTACCTGGACTCTCCCGCGCAGGCCGTCGTCGACGGCGCGAACGTTGAGATCTGGTCCAACGTGGACGCGTCGCCGGACGGCGCGATCGTCCAGTGGGAGTTCCCGCACTACACCAACACGCTGTACTACGACCCCGTCCTGGGGTCCACAGATCCGACGGTGACCGATACGGGGGCCGCCATCACGACGTCTGTCCCAAGCACCACCACGTCAGCGCCAACTACGACAACTGCGCCGCCAGCTACGACCGTGACTGCGGCACCGACGACGACTCCGCAACCCAGCGCCACTGGTGCCGTCACGTCATCATTTGCTGCCATGGCAGCCTTTTCTGCCGCCACTTTGGCTGCCATCGTTTGAGTGCATGCTATTTGAAGGATGCAATCCTGCAATTTGTCGTGCGCATTCCTTCTGGCAGTGCCATCGGCCGTCTTGCTGCGCCAAGGGCACACAGTGCGTCAGCACAGCATCGTCTGCTCTTAGACCATGAGCATTGTTGCATCGCATCCTCCGCCAACACCACGTTCGTTGGCACGAGGTCGAGACATGCTGCATCGATATATTTCCACGACGTTTTCGCTAGCTAGCCGCTTCTTCTTTTCACAGACGGTCAAGTTGAGTGTTGTGATGCAGTCGTGTGGCGGCGAGAACGCGGAAGCAGTGCCAACGACCAGGACGGCGCACTCACCGTCGGCCGCCATGAAGTTCAGCGGAGGCCATTGGGATGACGCAATGGCGAGGCTATTCTTGGACGTTGAGTAGGCAACGGGCGTGTTGTGGGTGCTATTTGTGGAGTTTCGACGAGAGCGTCGGTGGATCGAGAGAAAGCATGGGTCTGTTCAAGAACCTGGCCAACTCGCTCGGGATGAAGAAGCAGGCGGTGCGGATCTTGGTCGTGGGTCTCGACAACAGTGGCAAGACGACGCTGGTCAACCACCTCAAGCCCAAGAAGCTCCAGTCGCACGAGGTCGCGCCGACCGTCGGATTCCAAGTCGAAGAGTTCACCAAGTATAACCTGAGCTTCACTGTGTTTGACATGTCAGGGCAGGTAAGGTCCACTCGACGAGCTGGCTACCCGCGCATCTCATGGCTCGTTCGCTGTGTTGCCTTAGAGCCGCTACCGGTCGCTGTGGGAAAACTATTACTCGGATGTCCAGGTAGATTGATAGTCGCGGCAATTGCCACAGGTCCTCATTTGGATGCTCCTCGTTTTCTCGTCAGGCCATCATATTCGTCATGGACTCGACCGACTCCATTCGCATGTGCGTCGCCAAGGTAGTCGGCGCCATGATATGCGACCTCTCTGAATTCGTTGGCGGCAGGACGAGCTGGAGCAGATCATCCAGCACAAGGACTTGGCGTCCAAGAAGATTCCGATCCTCTTCTTTGCCAACAAGGTTACGTGGACCTGCATGGCGCGGTACACTGACACGTCTGCCATGTCTAGATGGACCTGGCGCACTCGCTGACGCCGGTCGAGTGCATGGGTCACTTGGAGTTGGATAAACTGACCAACAAAACGTGGCATATCACGTATGCTCTCTCGGATGTACTTGTTCATGTTGTGTTGACGGTGGCGTAGGGCGAGCAATGCCATCACCGGTCATGGTGTCGAGGAAGGCATCCAGTGGCTGGCGGACCAACTGGCCAAGGCCAAGTCGCGAAAGTGACCGCCGTCCCCCTCCACGAGCATGCGTGCACATGAACCCATTCCCAACTAAACAGGTCAAACAAGTACAGAATCATGCCGTGTTATTTTCTCGCGACGTGGTCGGCGTCCACCTCGACGCGGCGGTTGGCGCTGTACCGCATGCTCTGCGCCCATGAGTCAAAGTCAAATGCGTCGTGGATCATCCGCACGAGCTCTTCGGCATGTTCATGTTCTTTCTCGATCGAGTCGATACCCGCGAGCTCGTCGCGTATCCGTCGGTGGAATTCATCGACAGTCCACCCGTGCGTGGTCAGGAATCGCTCGAGGCGGCGTTCCACCATGTCTTGAAACTCAGCATGTGCTTCCTTGCACTCGAGGCGGTACTCCGTTGAGTGTCCTTCGAAGTAGGGGATAACACGGCGCTCAAAGTCCCACAGCTCTACAACTTCATTGAGTTGGATGATGGACTGGTAGACGGACCTTCAAATCCGTCTTCGTCCATGTCGAGCATATATTCCAGCAACTGCGTCGCCATGAGATGGGATGTCTCCCGTAGAAGAGGTCATGGATGCTATCAGTGCTACCTTAGTGATTACCATCTGCGACTTTACTGGTCGCTTCACTTGCTTCGCTTCGCGGTCCACATCTTGGCGCGCCGCCTCGAGGAGCCGCTGGAAGTTCATGGGGCGACTGTTTACAATTCAAAATATCCACAAAAATATTTGTTTTTGATTGAATTTGTCATACATATTCATAGAACAGATGAAAAAACGCGAAAATATTGTCAGTTATGGCAGTTACAACGTGGCCCGCGCGCGCGTGATGGATGTCGGGCGACGACGTCCGCGAGAGCGTGGAGCAGGCGCTTCAACGAGTTGAGCGGCAGCATGCACGAACTATGAAGAGAGAGCAAGATGCACGGAAGGCACGTGCGATGCGAGAAGCCGCCCAACGGTCCCTGGAACATAAACGGTGCTCGGAAATGGAGATGGAAGACGAGCACTCGCGACTCGCGGCAATTTGGCTTCAGAACGAGGAAAAGCGGGAAATGGAGGCGAGACGTAAAGCAGAAGACGATAAACTCCTGGTCCTCCTCGCTGCTGCGCGAAGAAGTGCTAAATCTGCAGGAGCCTGTCTCTCGACACCCGGCCTAAAGGGGCTCGAGCGACTGGCCGAGCTTACAGCCCGCGTGGTTGCCGTGGAAGAAGAGACACAAAAAAAGCGAGCCGACATCGCGGCCAAGCTCCGTTTGCGGTACAGCATTAAGCGCGCTCGGTACGATCTATCGATCTTGACATGTCTGCTGGCGACCCTGAGTGCTGGGTAGGGCCGTTATTGGAAACCACGTCGAGCAACACACGTCAGATTTGATGCACACGGCGATTCTAGAACAGAAGTGGGATACAATGCTGCACTTGGTGGCTGTGGGCGGCATCTCTCCCGATTTTGAGGCTACCCACAGTGGGTTCACGCCGCTCATCATGGCAATGGCGTGGCGCAAGCCTTCCGTGGCGCGGCGGCTCCTGGACGCAGGTGCTTCTATCGACTTTGAATCGGCGCATGGAAGGACTGCCCTCACCGCGGCGATTCTTGCGGACGATATCGACAGTGTTCGGCTGTGCATTGCACGAGGCGCCGATCTTTCCCGAGAATCTCGTACGACGGGGGTCACCCCGCTGCTCTTGGCTGTCGACAAAGGCCGGTCACCCCACGTGCGCGTACTTTTGGAAGCCCATGTCGATCCAAATGCTGCCAATTCCGACGGCATCACGCCTCTCATCCAAGCCACGTTATCCCAGCAAACTGCTGTCGCGAAGATTCTCTTCCACCACGGCGCGTCGCTGTCAACTCGAGGGAAAGACGACCGGACGTGCATCGAGTGGGCGCGGCGGTGCATGTTCCATGACTTTGCAGACACTTTGGAATCGCTCAATTTTGAAGTCGGGTTGGCCAAGGATAGCACGGACGGCGACGACCCACTTCACAACCATGACGCGACGGTGGATGACCAAGATGTGGCAGTCGTGATCCGCCTCGTGGAGCGCGGTGTTGTCGGTCCGAATGCAGAATCGGCAGCAGGATGGACACCGCTTCTTGTGGCGTGCGCACGCGGCACGCTCGCCCAAGTCCAGACACTGCTGGCGCTCGGTAGCATTGCGGTCCATCCGAATCGGCGAGGCCGGACACCGCTCGTGGCGGCTTGTGAACGAGGCGCCGCGGACATGATCACGTGTCTCGTCAACGCAGGAGCGAGCTTTGCGGTCGTCGACTGCCACGGCAAGGATGCTTTTCACGCCCTCGTCGAGTATCCTGAGCTGGTGCAGCTTTGGACCGCCGTTCGCAGCCAGTTCCGACCGACTGTTGCGCTGGGCGTCCCGACGCGCGCCGGGATCGCCCTCGCGGTGGTGGCACACGCTGTGCCCATGCACCAAACGACAATCCCAGACACAACTTCCATCGATGTTCCGCCGGCAACCACTCTGACGTCCCCCGAGGATAACGGCGACGATGACGAACGGCGGAACTGGCAGACTCAACGCACTCAACTGCGTCGCAATCGCGCGAAACTCATGCCGTTCTACGAAGAGCGCGAAAAGATTTTCCGCGCGCAGCAGCGCGGCCGACGGCATGCAGTCAGCGTCCCAACGCGCGATCCGAACGCCGGTCCACCACCGAAAGCGCGGCTCTGCGAGAACTGCCTCGGCGTTCGCGCGACAGTAGTGTGCGTCAAGTGCATCATGGCGTTCTGCGATCGATGCCTCATGGAGCGGCATTACGGACCCGCATACCACCACCACGAAACGATGCCACTGGACAAGGACGTGGGGGTGCACCTCCGTCCTGTCGTTGATGATCACACCGCGATGCACGTCGCTGCAAACGTTGAGCGGTGCAAGCTTGCGCTCGCCGGGATTGCCAAGACTTTTCCGCAGACGGTCCAGCGGCAGCCGTCCAACCAATGTTCATTACTACTGGAAGACGAAGATGGCGATATTCGGGCGAGGAAGCAGGCCGACAAGCGCGCCGCCGACGCCAAACGCCGCGACGCCATCATGAACATGGATGTCCCGCGGGTGGCCGCCACGCGATGCGAAGAGCGAGGTGCGTCTGTCTCGATTGAGGTCGATGCCACAGTGTTCCTGGCCAGGTGATCGGTTGTTTGCTACGCCGTCCGAGCTCTTCCTCGCGCGCAATATGATGCAGCGTGAGAAGTGGGACAAAGCCATTGCGCTGTTTGCAGCTGCCCATGCCATTCAAGTGGATGCGTTCGGTCCGCTGCACCCCCGTGTGGGCCACACATTGCTGGACATGGCTGCTGCGTCCAAGGTAGTGCGCGCGCCGAAAAACCGACGCATGACCCAAGTGAACTAGAGCAAAGGGAACAAGGACTTGTGGACAAATCATCTCCTCGATGCGCTCGAGTGCTTTGAAACGCACTACGATATCGACCACGTCGACGTTGTCGAGACGGCTCGAAAAGTGTGCGGCAGCTGGGTACAACGCCATGGACCGGCCGTCGAATCTATGATATGAAACAGGATGCCCGCAAGATGTACAAGGAAGCCATGGCGTTTTGCCGAGTGACGGAAGTGGCGCGGCGAAAACAACTCGGTGCAGAGCATACTCTGACCAAGGACGCTCACGACGACGCCGTGCGGTTTGCATGCAAGTGGGAGTCGCTCCAAATGTTCCTGGAAGACTCGGTGGGGCAGCAGCTCGAGGACCGACGGACGAATGCCGCGTACTATGCCGATGCCGCCCTCGGCCGGTGCGATGATTTCGTTTCGAAGGGGTCCAGCGACGTTGACATGGTGTCGTGTTGCAGGCTGCCAGCGCAGTTGACGGCCCTGCTCGTGTCGGATCCGGCCGGCCTCGCGCTGTTTTCGTCGTTCTGCGAGCAACGAATGCACGGCATGAATCTCGCGTTCTGGCTCGCAGTCGAACGATTCAAAACGGATGTCCCGCGGGTGGCCGCCACGCGATGCGAAGAGCGAGGTGCGTCTGTCTC